GGTTTGGGGGGGTCCCGGTGACACCGGGGGGGGCGGGGTCCGGTCCCGGTTCCGAATCCCGGTCCCGGTGACACCGAGGGGGGGTCACGTCCCTGTCCCGGTCCCGGTCCCGGTCCCTGTCCCGGTCCCGATCCCGGATATCGGACCCAAATCCCGGTCCCGGTGGCACCGAGGAGGGCGGGGCTCGGTCCCGGTTCCGAATCTCGGACCCAAATCCCGGTGCCGGACCCGGATCCCGGTGCCGGTGACACCGAGGGGGGATCAGGTCCCTGTCCCTGACCCTGTCCCGGTCCCGGTTCCGAATCTCGGACCCAAATCCCGGTGCCGGTCCCGGTGACACCGAAGGGGGAGCGGGTGCCGGTCCCGGTCCCGGTCTCGAATCCCGGTCCCAGTCCCGGTGACACCGACGGGGGGTCCCTGTCCCGGTCCCGGTCCCTGACCCGGTCCCGGTGCCGGTCCCAGATCCCGGACCCAAATCCCGGTCCCAGTGACACCGACGGGAGGTCCCTGTCCCTGTCCCTGTCCCTGTCCCGGTCCCGGTCCCGAATCCCGGTCCCGGTGACACCGGGGGCGTCCCGACCCTTCCTGAGGGTCCCGGTCCCGACTGGGCCGGTCCCGGGGGGGGGGTCCCGGTCCCGATTGGGGTCCCGGGGGTGTCCCGGGGGAGGGTCCCGGTGGTCCCGGGGTGGTCTTGGGGGTCTCCCGGTGGTCTCGGGGGTCTCCCCGGGGGTGTCCCGGTGGTCCCGGGGGGGGTCCCGGTGCCCCCCCGGCCTTACCTGGGTCTCTCAGCGGGGCCGGGTCGGGGTCGGGCCGGTACCGGGCGCGGGGGGAGCGGTGGGACCGGGACCCCCCAGGGGCGCTTTTATCCCCCCCGGGACCCCCCCCAGCCCCGGGGGGCTCCGGGGGGACCCCGAACGGGCGGGGCCGGGCCCTGGCGGGGCCGCCCCCGGCCCGCGGGAGACCCTCGGGGACCCCCGGAGCCGCCCCCCGTGTCCGGTGTCACCGGGGGGGGGG